TGATGGTCCTCTTTTGTTCAGGTCAATGGCCCCTCCTCCAGGTTTTCTCTACCTTCTTCTTTTCAAGACCGTCCTTCCCCTCACAACTATGGATTTGCAGAGGTGTTTCTCTATTGCTAATTGGCTCAGCCTGGGCTGGGGGGGTGCGCCTTAGAGCCAGGGGATCTTCATGAAGCTTCCCACAGGGTAGCCCCTTCCCCCCCTACCCAAACACGGCCCCTCTATCCCCCAGAACCCAACACAAGAAGGAATAAAGAACAAAATTTAAAATAGACCACCTACAGGATTAGATTTAAAGTAGAATGATGTTTCCTTTTCATCTAGAGAGCCAGGGGCAGAATGTCTTATTTTTTTCCAGGATGTCATTTGGAATGTCCTGAGCTATAGCACAGAGTTTTGACATTTTTCTTACAAAGTAAGTCTATCATAGATCTTTCTAGATTACCAGTATTTTTCAATTATAATACTTTTCAAAGATACACTACCACCAGAAAGCTCAAATTTGATATCTATCAGTCTGACCTTTTTTTAGACTCCTAATCTTTAGAGATCACCTGAATAAAACAATAATTAGCACCCCAAAATAGATGTTTGTTTCAAAAAAACCAAATAAAGATATGTAATCAGTGATATTTCCTTTTTTAACCATACACTATATCTCTGAAGACAGCAATTTTAATCCAATTTTGTACATCAGGTTTTCATAGAATCATAGAGTGGTTTGGGTTGGAAGGGACCTTAAAGATCATCTAGTTCCAATCCCCCTTCCACAAACAAGGGCACCTTCCACTAGACCAGGTTGCTCCAGGGAGGGAGCATTCAAAATTTCTCTGGGCAGCCTGTTCCAGTGTCTCACAATTATCACAGGAAAGAATTTCTTCCTAATATCAAATCTAAACCTACCCTCTTCCAGTTTAAAGCCATTTCCCCTTGTTCTATCAATACCTGCCCTTGTAAAAAGTCCCTCCCCAGCTTTCCTGTAGGTCCCCTTCGGGTATTGGAAGGCCACTGTAAGGTCTCCCCAGAGCCTTCTCTCTGCAGGCTGAACAGCCCCAACTCTTTCAGCCTGTCCTCACAGGAGAGGTGCTTCAGCTGTTTCATCATCCTTGTGGCCTCCTCTGGACTCGCTCCAGTAAGTTCATGTCTGTCTTATGTTGAGGGCCCCAGAACTGGACGCAGTACTCCAAAGGGGTCTCATAAGGGCTGAGTAGAAGGGGAGAATCACCTCCCTCAACCTACTGGCCACACTTCTCTTGATACGGTTGGCCTTCTGGACTGTGAGTGCTCATTGCTGGCTCATGTTGAGCTTCTCGTCTACCACTACCCCCAAATCCTTCTCTGCCCAACCTGTATTTGTGCTTGGGGTTCCCCCAACCCAGGTGCAGGACCTTGCACTTGGCCTTGTTGAACTTCATGAGGTTAGCACAAGCCCACCTCTCAAGCCTGTCAAGGTCCCTCTGGATGGCATCCCGTCCCTCCAGCGTGTCAACTGCACAACTCAGCTTGGTGTCGTCGGCAAACTTGCTGAGGGTGCACTCAATCCTACTGTTCATGTCGCCGACAAAGATGTTAAACAGTGCTGGTCCCAATACTGACCCCTGAGGGACACCTCTCATCACTGGTCTCCACTTGGACATCAAGCTGTTGACCTCAGCTCTTTGTGTGCAACCATCCAACCAATTCCTTATCCACTGAGTGGCCCATGCATCTAGTCCATGCTAGAGACAAGGATGTCATGTGGGACAGTGTCAAATGCCTTCCCGTACCCACCAGTGCTGTAACTCCCATCATAGAAGGCCACTGAGTTGGTCAGGAACGATTTGCCCTTGGTGAAGCCATGTTGTTGGCTGTCACCAATCACCTCCTCAAGATCAGAGATTTCAGATCAGAAGTTTAATGTTTGAATGTTTTGGAGAATTACATTTTTTTTATCTTGCAGAGGTTAAAAACAAGTTCTTCAAATCAAGAATCATTCTATTACAATCTGCATTCAATAAACAGTTGAAGACATAATTTCTAATTAAATTAAGATATTTAACACATCAATTCTTTCTTAAAATATTTTCTGTTCTCCTTAGCAGCAGCTGGACATTTTACATCTGAATGTAACTATAAATTGCAATATGGAAAACTTGTAATCACATTCAGCCGAACCCCTGTGGACAAAGTCAATGTCCAAATGTGATCAAATATTTAAAGAAACTGCATTAATACCATTCAGTAATGCTCATCCTGCTGATTGTATCGACAAGCAATAATAGAGTTAAAAGGAATTAAACTGGCATTTATTCTTGTTGCTAATACTATTTCCTGTAAAATTCTGTTTACTTTTAAAATGAATAGCACTTAGAAGATATTTTAGAAAAAAGGTCTGATATCTGAAAGTATATAGCAATTAATCATGTCATTGAGCTAATGCTTCCCTTTATTAATCATTACTGTTCTTTTGCCTTTACAATGTTGTCAAAGCCCCATACTGCAAAGTGATATTTTAGCGAAGATCATGCAGTTACCAGAAGTCCTTTTGGTTTTATTCAGATCTACACAGACGTACAAGTTAGTATCATAAGGTCTTTTTGGTGGAATCAACAGGGACTCCAGATTGCTGGCTTTTACACAGATGACCTAAGTTCTGTAAAATTATTAGAATATGTCAAAATTCATAGAAAACATGGACAGTCATGAATATATTAATTCTATACTGTTGTGTAGTTATGACCCTGTTACACAGTGTTCTTTTTTACCAGTAAAACTTAGAGCTTCTTTTCTCATTAGAACTCGTTAAAAGGAAAAATTGAGAAGATGGTGTCTAGTTAAGGGGAGCTAGTCATGCCTAATAAAATGCTGTTATGAAGGATATAAATAAATAATAAATACTTAATTTTAAATAATTATATTCTTCACTAATATTTTTTCCTTTTTGAACTTCAAAAAATGAATTAACCAGGAAAAGCCTGGCAAGATGCATAAAAATTACAGGAAGCACATGTTTTTGACAGGAGTGTTGACAATGACTGTATTCCCTATTGGCAGTTCTTTTTATAGAAGTTGCAGAACTGAGAAAGCATAGGAGCTTTTTTCTAAAAGCTGTAGTTTTGAGTTTTCATCGGTTTTAGGGAGGTGTTGTGCTACTAGGTAGCTGGCATTCACTAACTATATGCAAAATAAGATTTTTAATTTCAGCTGAAACTCTTTCCTAGATATCCTGGAATTCAGTAACTGAAAACTGTATCATAGCAAACTGAAAAATCTCTTGTTTTCTTTTACTTTTTTTCGAGAGCTGCTTAGTTTGTTTTGAAGAACTTTTATGTTCCCAAATGTTGAATACTTTTTATTTAAATGAAAAATGGACAGTGCCTCTCTGCCTGATGGAATGATCTGTTCGTAAAAATTAGAAAAAAAATCTCAGCTTAAAGTGCCTCTGCTGTTTTTACTAGCAGGAGAACAGAGGATCCCAGAAATGTTGACTGAATTTGTATTTTATTATCTCCTTTGATACCAAAAAGTTGTGTCTCATAAGTAATATTTCCAGCACTGTTTTAGGGGAATATTTAGGAATGCAATTTTTATTGATCCATCTAATGGT